TGGAGAGACCGGCACACGCGATTGCAAACATTGTGGGGGGAAAATCGACGGTGCTTCCGCTCGAACCTGACGGAGAATTTCCGCCGCGGGGTGGAATATTGTAAAATTCTGAAGAGAATCACGGAGTTCACGGGCGGAATTTTTGTGTTTGAGGGAAACTTTGAAAGGCGAACGGGAATTCAATGAATTTACGGAAAATGGAATTTTCAGAAAATAAATGTTCCCTTTTGTCGTAGAATCCTGGTCATTCAAGATTGTTCTATATTTGATATATTTAAGAATTACCATTTATTATAAAATGAATAATATAAAATAATAGTATTAAGTTTTTTTTCCTATTAATTGTACACTTCCTCGAATATTCAGTATATTTGTCACAAGAAACCCGAGTGTACAGATATATTTTTTTGACTCACTGAATGTACACCATGCCAAAGATAAAGAATCACCAACTTTCGACCGAAAAATTGTCGATATTTGATCGACTGTAACTTCGTTAAAAAATATCGTATAATAATCTACCTGGGCTCAGTTTACAGCGTGAATCCTTGTTTAAGTCGTGAACTCGATGATCACTTTTTGTTATAGAATGAAGTGAAAAACTAGAGATGCATTTGTTCTCTTTAAATTTCACAAATTCAAGGTATCCTACAGAGTTTGAAAAATGTTGTTTAGGGATGATCATTTAATAATCACTGATGGTACAATTAAGTCACAGATTCTGTAAACTCCTGGCGGGGGTAAAAATTACGGAAGCACATATTCCATACAGATGTTATTAAAACTTTTGTGTAAAACAATGTGGCTGCAAATCAGCTTAAAGTTAAAGCAAACGCTATGGGGATTGCAGCTGTTGAAACTCGACGATTGAAAGGGGATTTATAAGAGATTTAGAAGGTATACGGAGAAAATATCGCGAGTCAGCAACGAATTATGGAAAATAAATGAACGTTAAACTGCATGAAACGGTCCACATGTTGACGTCAAGGGAGAAACGTTTTTACAGTGAACAGTTTTATCTATCCCAGGGCTTTTGATCTTCTCCCCCCCCCCTCACCGTTAGGGCGAATCTAGCAGACAGCGCGAGTCAAAGTAGACCAGCCGCAGGATTTAATGAGGAATCCGCTTTGCGCACTCTTTGCCAGGGGTCCTCATAATTGCCACTTCGCCCCGCGTTAATTGACAGATTCATTTCGACCCTTTATCGCGATTATGAGAAATTGACTGTAGAAAACGGGGTTACTGTTAATGCCACGGCCATTTTGCCGTTCCCCGTTCCACGGTAACCGCGTTAAAATTACGGTCAAAACTTTCGAGGCGCGTGACTGCCGTCGATTTCGATGGTTTTCCATGCCTGGAAATGAACGTCGAACGTTTGTTTACGCGGATGTAATACCCAGTCCGAGCGGAAAATTACTTCTGTCAAGTTTCATTATTCGAGGTGGACCTGAGGTCTTCGAAACAAATGTGTTTATGATTTTTTTTTCTTCATCAAGAGGAAAGATCGAAGAACATAGCGATATTATAATTAATAGGTTATAGTGTGGTCGGTAATGCAAAAGACCAATCGATTTCATTTGTCAATAAAAACCGTACGAACTTTTGGTTTAATCCAATAAGTTGGACAGATTTCTTTCTTGCATTTCATTTGTTTTACTTCCAACATTTGTATATTTAAAAATTTCATTTAGTTTCATACTTTGAAAATTTCATTTAGAAAATTTTCTTGTTACAAAATGAAAGTTCAATTAACATCTATCTCCGAAATGGGAAGTTCAATGTATAATAGATTTTGCTTCGGGTAACTTAAAGTGTGTCCCAGAATCGCTTAAAGATCCGCAGAACTTCGAGGCTCAACAAAGAAACAAATCAACAGAATTCGTGTAACGCGGGAACGATAAGCAACGGATTTCTATGGAAACAATATTCACGTATTCCTGAGCACAATAGTAGAAGGATTAAGGAATACTCGGCCGCCGAGAATCGACGGTGAACGATGAAAATTTATGAATTTGCCTTAAAGCCGGTCTGCGTCTCTCGAGATACCGGGGCACGCTTCGTAATTGGATTAAACCGATGAATCACGGTTGTTAAACTGTTTACCAAGCGGATCAGTGTTCTTCTGCATTCCTTCGTCCTTGTTCGGTGTGCGTGGTAACCGGAGATTCCCTCGCGGAATTCAAATATCATGCCTGGATCCTCCACTCTGCTCTTGATATCCTTAGTTACAAAGTCTGTTTAACTGCGTCGCGACGCGGAATAACTGCGAACGTTTTAACAAACTGAAAACCTTTTGATCACGTTCACAATCCGACAGAGGAATACGAACGATGTATTTTCTCTCGCGTTAACAACAGCACGGTTAACTTTTACGTTTCGAAGTCCAATAGGGAAATAATAAAGTCGAACACAATAGAAGAAAAATAAGGACTCTGCTACAAATTTAGCTGATTAAATATTCGAAAAAAAAAAATATCACTGGAATGGAAAATGTTTTATATGGTTGAGCAGGAAGAGTGGTATAATCGGACAGAAGGTAATTCTAGTTGCAAAAATAAGTCGAAAATTTAGAATAAAATTTGTTCCTATAATGTTTCGTGTTTCAGACAACTGAATTTGGAAATCTGACACTGAACATTCAATATTTCATAAACTAATGGCCATACCTCCCTGTCAATATTTTAAACCCTCGAACAATCATCGAGAATTTACTGTACTATATTCCCAACCAAACACGATTTCTAATCATTCAGTTATCCGATCGTAAAAATTCTCTGAATTCGATCGTATAAGAAAGTTTTCTGCCTACAGCAGGTCGGACTCACTCGAAAATTCTAACCGAGGGAACCTTGCCCCTTTCCCGGGTGGGCGAACTCCAGAACAGGAATAAATCACGGGCCCGTTATCACAAGGTCCTTATCAGTGCCACCGAAGCAAGATCGTTAAACCAAGTCCGGAAATTATCCGATTCGACGTAAACTCGCGAACGAACTATGAAACCGTGCCGCCGGGCATATCCTTGCTCGTTATCACTCATTATTACGTTATTACCCGGTGCCGTTTTTCGTCCACGTTTCGTCGTCGAACGATTCTCCACACGATTCTACAGGGCGGATGGAAATATATCGCGGTGTATCGGTGGCCCGATACAAGCTGTGAATTAACCGATATTCATAATTCAAAGCTTTTATCGCGCTGGGAGGGATGGGGGTTGATCCCAGTATTGCGAGGGCAGAATTTCAGGATGGCAGCGCGTAGAAGGAAGCTGGGGGTGCCATGTGACGTGTTTCACGGAAACGATAGCTTATACCACGCGCAGCTTGCAACGCGGTATCTCACCTTCCGTGCTTTCATTATCAGTTACCATAGATCACCGCGGGCGAGCCCACCCCAATGACATCGCATCCGTTCCTGCGTTCATCCCTCATCGCAAAACATCGGCCAATGATCACGGATCTGTCCTTGTTGACTTCTCCCTCGCTCAAACAAGCGTTCGATGGACATTCGTGCGGATTGGATGAACTGTACTTGGATAGAAAATAGTGAAAGCGGTGATGGTTGACTGGAGGGAGTACTGTGTTTGTCCTTTTCCATTAGGAGACTGGGGGACGATGATAAAACTGAATTTGACAAGGAATACTCTGTGAAGTAACCGATACAGATCTTGACATGTTCAGTGAAAATGAAAATTATCGTCAGAGTCTCGCGCACGTGTGAACACCACCCCGTAATTTGTTCTCCATTAAAACGTCACCGTGCGCTTGCGGAAGTCGGCGAAAGATTTCGCATTAACCGGGAAACTTCGCACGACTTTCTTACGACTCGATCGGTACTCGAGCGGCTGTCTGGAAACTCATCTAAAACTAGGATTAGGGGTGTACCGATAAAAAACAAGAACAACAAAAAAACGACATAAACCGACCGTGGCGTGTAAGGAAAAACGACAGTTCGATTGCAGTAAAAAGCAAATAGGAGCTTGTAGACTTCAAACGCGTTTGAAAACCGTGGAACGAAAACTGAACAGGTCGACGGATCTCCTTGTGTCGCAAAAAAATTTTGTTCACATGACCTGGAAAAGACAATACCCGAAATAGAATGAACGGGACGGAGGCGAAGTGAATAAACAGAAATTACGAGTGTGTTGTGTGTGTGTCTGTGAAGGGAATCCAATGGAGAACGAAGTGGAAAATCCTCTGTGTAACTGGTGAAGGGAACTGAAAATGAACGGAGTTGAAAATAGAGGGTAAACTGGAAGGGTGGGTGGGATCATAAAGTGGTGAAAGAGCCGAGAGAGAAAGAGTCGGAGACTAAAGGGGAAGTGAACCAAAGAGCAGGCGAGGAAAGGGAATAGAGACAAAATTCCAAAAAGGTGGTCGAAATTACAGAACACACGAACAAAATGTGAAAAGGAGAGAAGAATTGATTGAACATAGAACTGTAAATAGAGTACCAATAATAAGACGAAAAAAAGAGCATAACACAGGAGAGAGAGTAGAGGAAGAACGGTTGTCAGATTCGAAGAGGATTGAACCGGTCCTCGATCGTCAGTTTCGCGTAACAGTGTGGCATTAATAATTACGGAGATCGACAACGTTCTCGTGGGAATTTCCGACTGATGTAATAATACTCCAGCAACGTACTAATCATAGTTTGTGGACGGTTTTATGCGAGCACCAGCCTGTTCGCGGTGAGTTTGCACCAGCACACGCACGGCGATACCGTGGGAATCATCGAATTCGACGGGATTTTCTTCGTTCACGTGTAAATCAGTCAATTTAAAGATTTGTAAATTTTCAAAAGTTTGTCATGTTTTTCCACCGAACTATTTCCAACGGTTTTACTGTTAAAGAGCATGAAATATACTTCTTATACCTTTTATATACTTTTTTAATGGTATTTACGCAGAAGGAACGGTTTGATAAATATTTACACGTTGCGGAATCCTCGGCGGAGAGAGAGAAAACAGTTTAGACTCGAGAAATTGACTCACCTTAGTATTGTCATCTGGTGAACACGTAGCTCATCGTTAAGTGAATTAGCCACAGGTTGAGAAACGCCCTAGAGACTCCGTTCCCGTCGTGTACCGCCGCAGGCAGCTCCCCTGAATCCACAGAAAAGACAGAAAAAAAAAACACGAATTGAATAACGTGGTAGCGTTTATATCAGTCTTTTTTCGTCACGATTAAAATGTCCCCTTTGCGACGTAAACTTCATCATTTTTACTAGAACGTAAATATATCTTACATTCACTGAGAATACAGTATGTTTCGGTGTGTCTGATCCCTACGGTTAAAATGGAATTAAATCGTCCTTCCTGTTTTTCCTTTATTTCATTTCAGGATCTTCATGCAAAAGCCAGGATCATAATTCTACGAGGAAAAGAATTACGGCCTGGTTTGCGAAATCAGGACATGAATATCGAACCTCGCGTTACAAACTACCCTCATAACTGTCCTAACCTATTCCACCCTGACCCTCCGCACATTCTTCTCCCTAATCCTTGCATAGAAATGACTGTACCCTACCGTTCTACACGATCTTAAATTCTATTTCAAACTTCGTACCTGTTGAAACGCCGCTAGGCGTGCAACTCCCACAATGTCACGCGATTACACCAAAATATTATAAGAAACATTCACTCAGGTAACACATCACTGCAATATGCGTTGAAAAGAAATTGACGTCAACTGATATTCTTACCTAATTATTAATACATAATGGTAATGTGGGATTCAGATGAGCTTCGTGAATCAAGACTGTCGAAGTGTAATATAAATTAAAATATATTTACCTAATTGTAAGTATAAAATAATATGCTTTGTCCAAGAATAATAACAATGATCCATTCCGCAATCCACTCTGTATAAAATTCACACTGCTTCTCTACAACTTACTGCTTCGCCACACGAAACTACACTGCCATTCTTCCATTCGACATATACCTAGGTCACTCGCTTCTCCCTCCCTTTTTCTCATACCCTTAAACCTAACAGATGTCACCGTTGCAGCGCCCACAGGTCATCGACGCCTCGAGTGCCATAAATTACCTGAACCTAAACAAAACACTACGCCCTTACAACAGGCATCTGTAGGCCTCCTTTTTGATAAAAATAAAATACTAACAAATAGATATTCCTTTCAACATACCAATTATTTGTCCACGAACACCTATCCAACTTCACCGAAAACCGTGCCAAATTCACAAAAAAAAATCTAGCTTTCCTTGCACCAAGTACTACAACAAAGAAATTCACGATAGTTCATCGAAAATCACCGAAGAGAAATTAACAAAACAGAAAGTTCACAATCATTCGTCAAGAATCACCAAAACAAACTGTAAACACAAATTAAACACACTTTCGACCCGAAAGAAAAGCACTCGCAACCCGTTCTATACGTCAACAGAAATTCAATTCCCTACCACATCGCTACATTCGATAAATCTGCAACAAAATAAAAAAAAAAATAAAATCAACCGTAAACTCTCACGGAAATCGCCGCAGACTTCCATTTATCGTCACATGTCACGAGGGTAGCAGGCACTTTAATCGCAACGCGGCCAACAACCGTCATCGATCGCGTTATCAAATCCAATCGATCGGTGGAGGGACAGCGTCGAAACAAATTCCCCGCGTAGGTCGCGCGATCAATCCGAGCCATGGAGGGCTCTCCTCGTCGTCGGTATCATAGAGTCGGGCCTGGTTCGTAAATCACACGGTCGTATATATTTTGTTTTCCAGCGTGGCCGGCGACAGGCTTGTAAACGCTCGCTTGGTAGCCCCGGAGCCAGCCAGCTCGCGCGCACGGTTGCTCGTGCCGGCGACAAGAACACATTTGTCATTTCATTAATGGTTGTTCCGTCTATAGGTTTTCTGTCAGGCGCACACCGCCGCAGCTTGACGTATTTTGGTGGCGTCCGTTTAATCGCACTTCGACCGAGTTACGTTTCCTAGATAATAGTTCCGAAAAGGGGAGGTGGATGGGGTGGGGCTTCTCCGTTGGCTTTCATGAAATTAGGCGGTCCTTATTAATGGCACTTCACGCGGCGGTGGCGGCGCCCGGGCCTATCCGTTCGCGCTTCTTCCTCTTGTATGTTCGTTCAACCGGAAAACGCATCCTTCAGACCCGACTTAAGTCCCGACGCGCGGGTTAACATCCGGCCACCGTGCAGCTAACGTTCTCTGCTAACGTTCGACGAGTTTCCACGATTCTTGCCTCGTCGACGTCGAACTTTCACGAGAATGGAGTGTGGTGACGCTCTTGCGCTTGTGTATTGTATCTCTACGAGATATAGCGAGTTCGTGAAAACAGCAGGTGTTTGGGCCCTTCACGTATTTTTAAGTATTTTGAGGGTAGTGTTGTTGGAGACCTAGATGTACATTTTTTGTCTTCTTAAATAGTTTTAATTAGACCTATGAAGAAAGAAATATTTCAAATTTGAGGAGGATTAAAAGTATTGTCAGACATATGGGAAAATAAAGTAAATAGGATTAAATAAGTACACGTTCAGTGGCTTGTAACCTCAAGGAACAATAACATAACCTAGTCAAAGGGTTATCGGAAGCGATAGGGGCTATTTAAGTGATTAGAGTTTTTAGAGATTTATTAAAAAAAAGGGCGTTATCTTCCGGCACCCCTAATAGAATTCTTTCGCACCGTGTATAGTCGTTCGTGAGATATCCAACTTACTATTAGCTGTGTCACCGTGATCAAGATCAGGATAATAGAAGATTGATCAAGATAAATAGAAATTTTCCTCCCAATTCTACCGATAAGTAGGTCGTAAGGAACCGTATAAATCTCTCCAGAAAGAAGTAACCAAAAGCATACCACGGTACACAAAAATAAAACTGTACCTAAAAACCGTATGTGTCACATTGTCCTTTTTAAGGAACTACATAACATATCGGAGACAAGCAACCGCGCGGATAAAAAGAGACTCAAGCACAGATTGGAATGGAACTTAATCACCGGTGTCGAGATTCCCGCTCGAAACAGCGATCCGGCCGCATTGTCGAGCATTCGAGGCTTGGCCCCTTCCCCGTGATTATCGATCATTCGATTCTTCCGTGGGGATCGACGTACGGCACGTCCTTCCGGTTCGACCGGTGAGATAGAAAACGTGCCTCTGGCCGGTGTCCAGGATAGCTGCGGAATTTGTCTCTCTTGATTCCCTTTTCCGGGGAGAAGCTTCTCTTCCACGACCTTTCCTTTCCTTCCACGGAATTTTTCAATTCGATGCGCCCCCCTCGGTGGTGTCGTCTCCTCTTTCATCGGTTCCCGCGACTTATCCTCCCCCTCACTTCCCTTTACACGTCTACTCAGTTTTCTTTTCTTCTCTGTGAAATTCTTCCTTCCGGCGTTTCATCGGCTGCTCCCTTTGATCTTTCAATTTTCCACGGCACCGTCTGGTCCTCGAATTCGCGATTTATCCGACCGATTTCCGTGACATTTGTTTGCCGCGGCACGTCTTTATTTACCTCGATTCCCGTCGCCCTCGGTTTCAATACTATATTTTTTGTTTGCTTTTTTCTTGTTTTGTTTCGGCATGATCCTTTCCATCCTTTCGATCGATTGGCCCATCCAGCTACTAGCCTTTCGTCGTCTTTAAATCTGTCACAGTGACCCCACACGGTTTCTTAAGATTTCCCTCGGACCGTTCCCGTCCTGACCCCGTTAGAAACTCCACAAGTTGACCTCTTTAAATTTGACCATCGTTGCTTGGTTGGGCGAATTTATACCTGGTTGTGGTCGATGATTAATTTTTCGTTGGATTATTGATTGATCTCGTGATCTGTTTGGTAGTCGTGGCACGAAAGGAAAGGTACGTACTTTGGGTACAGACCGAATCGATCGACCTAATTTTATTCTCGGCACCTATGATATGCGGCAGAGGTCGATACTTTCGTTATATGATAGATCACGTATTTGAAAATGGAGAAAATTGGAGAAATATGATGGTGCAAGCGGCATTGGAAATTCCATCTAATCGACCGAACTTTACGGTACCGCATCAGTGGAATTGAATATTTAAAGGTTAATGAACCGATTGCCGGCTAATTTCATAAAATTTCTACGGGAAAGTTTCAGTTTTCAATATATTCCTTTGACACGTTCTGATGTTGCGATTGATTAAAATGTCACATCTGAGAATGCTGTATCGTTTTTAAACATCCGTGTGGGACGCCTGTGTATTTTACATTTGATATTGTTCCGGATGGTGTACCATAGCATGTAATTATTTACACATATTATTTAAGTTTATCAGTTTGGAATTATTTAATTCTTCTTCAATTATATTTAATTCCATTATATCAGATGACTCTCCTTCATTTTTGATAACATTAGGTTGACTCATAAATAACTTGCGCTTCGCTTCTTTAAATTTATCTCAATTCAAGGTATTTTAACAATTAATATCAATCAATCTTCCTCATTACCTGTGAACTTAATTATTGGTGTCCAGTTTACCTGAATTCATTGACCATTGTTACTTAATTGCTTTTTAGTAACTCAGTGTCCTTCACAGAAGTTATTTGTTCAATTTTCTCACTTCCTGCATTTCTGTCCTTAATCTCCACTGCAATTTCTTTTACTTTTACGCGAGTTACTTTTATTTCAGTACTTGAAACAAATCTACCAAGTGGTAGGAGGTCCTTCTCCTACGTCACTTTTTCCCCTAGTGTAAGCAGAGTCTGCTCGCGAGAGTATATATGTATGAACGGTTTGCATAATATTCCAGAAAACAAGAAAGTCGTGCCGGGGTCACGGCAATTGGGTGCAATGAATGCCCCGCTAATCAATGGACAACAGCCCCCTGTTCATGGGAGCAATGTATTCGCAGCTTGCCGTCCCACCGGTTCGGCCCATTGTTATTTCGATTCGGCCCGGTTGGATACATTTCCTGCACGCAGTCGAGTGCGCACAGCGGGGGCCGACCGGTGAGTGCACGTAGCAGAACTTCCTATTGACCACTTCCTCCGCCGGAGTCAGGAATTCCAATTCCCAACCCTCGTAGCCGTGTGTTCGCAGCCGCAAACTGCGGATCGTCCAGCTCCCTTTTTCGAATCCGCGACCATCGTCTCACGCCTCGACACTTTT